GTTTTGATATACAGTGACAGCTCACTGTTTGAATCATGGACTATATTAGCTGTTGCTAAGCAACATGGAAACCTAACAGTCAATGTTAGCTAGCAAAAGAGATAATTAACAGGTTCAGGTTTAACACATCGCTGTGATTTATTTTGTTATAGGTAAACGAAGAGCACACTTAGTAAAACATCATTTCATTTATTAACTCCAAGTGAAAATACCTGCTTCAACCCCAGTGGTTTAATGCAGTCTGGCAGCGTGAAGTCCAGTGAGTGGTAAGTATCTACTTAGTTATCAGTATTACTACAAAGATCATGCTGTGTTGATATGAAAAGTATGTGGCCATGAAGATTCTGGGTTTAAGTGCAGGTCTTGAGCGAAATCTCTGCCAGTGAAAGTCAATATTTGTTGATGCTCAAACAATAACAGTATATAAAGATTTATTTGCAGTCATTGTGCTCAAAGCATCACATTTTATATCTAAAAATGTTCCACTGCACCGATTATCAACAGTTTTTCTATGACCTGCAGGGAAAAAATGAGTCTATATTTGTACACCAGGTACGTGCAGGTCCAACACAGTGGTGCCAAGCTGAGTGCCTTCTGGTACTTTTGATGTGGAAACGGGCAGTTTAAACTATTTAATGCACAAAAGGCCACATTGATATTTTATTGAATAAAGTATAATTATCCAATCCAGATGATGTAGGGGACAAGACAACAACGTCATTACCAAACCTGAGCAGAGGTGAGACTCACTTTGAAGCTGAACTCTGAACAGATATTTAGACAGAGAGATAGAATTATTATCATTTCATTCACACATAACACCACGGAGAAAAAACTGAATTCACTTAGAGAAGAGAAAAATTCACTCAAAGATAAAAGAGAAATTCCTATGAATATAAATGTTCTTGGAAAAAAAAAAATCACTTACAGATTAATTATTGAACCCTGTGTGTGTGTACACGTGTGCACGTTTATGGACTGAGATTATTTTGAGGTTAAGTCATAGACTTTTTTTTTTTTATACTACAACAGTTTTTTTCTGGCCTGAGGGTTATCTTAACCCAATCCTGTTCATTACAGGTGACAGGAGACTTCTCCAGCTTCTTTCAAGACACTCATTCCTCTAATGTCCAAGCATGGGATCAGTCTTGTCCCTCAAGTTTCGCAGAATAGATGGAAAGGCAAAAACCCAGGGAGACAAAGGTGTTGTCCCCAGAGGAGCGAGGGCGCTTGATCCAGGGCAGCTGCAGTCTGGCCTGAAGAATTGCAGTGATAATGATAATCCCAGTGCTAGATGTGTCTCTGCAGGAGCCAGTGACGACACCCCTGAACAGGACCAGGTTAAAGACTTTAATGCTTTACTCCCTGAGATCAAAGAGCTCTGGAAAAAAACAGCTCAACTGGAGGCAGACTTTAAGAAATTAAAAACCAACACACAAGACCTCGGAGTGATTACAGGGGAACTTGAAGACCAGCGGCGCAGGTGGCACGTGCTTACAAGAGTAATGAACTGGGTCGAAAGAGATGAAAAGTTTGTGATATGTATTTGTCATTACGATTTTCCAGGTATGACATTTTAGAAGAGCACATCAAGGACTTGACAGAGCTGCACGAGAATGAAATTTTGATCCTGAAAGACGAACTAGCCGACATGGAGGGGATGTTTGTTTATCAATTTCAGGAAAGAGCAGCAGATATTCTAGTAAGCCTCACTAACCCTTACCCTTACAAACCATTTTCACAACAGACATTCTGACATGAGCAATACATCTTTGTGTCATTGACAATATAGCCTGTGTTCTGTTGAGGTGAGTCAGGGTCCTGGTATGATGTAACCTGGATCAATGGAATAAAGCATAATGAATATGTTTTAGCCTTTGAGCAATGTTGAAGATGAGTACTAACTGTGCAAAGCAACTGTCCAAATTATGCCCCTGAGATCCGAACGTAGTGAACAGTGCAGGTTTACTCCGTCAACTGATAACTTCACTGAAAAGCTAAATGTGCTACTAAAGCACACAGTCTGTAAAGAGCAACATGGAGGGTCACACCACAAATCTTCAGACCTTGTCTCAAGATGGGGTTTCTGTGTCAAAATGAAGAGTGGGTGGATGCTTTATGTTGCATAATTAAAATCATAAAATCTAAAATCAATGAAAATCATGGGACCACAGGTTAATTTAGTCAATGCTGCAACTCCAACTATCTGTTATGGAAACATGATTAACTGTAATTTCTCAGATTCTATCAGACTGTTCACCTATAAAGAGGATTTTTGTCTCTGACCTGCAGGAGGAACTTCACACACATATCTCAAAGCTGGAGCTTCAGCAGCAGATGCATCTGGAGTCAGCCACAGGTGGTGGGGTTTGCAGGAAGCTAGTCAATATGATGCTGGCTGTTCTGATTGTCCTCTTGGAGTTTGTGCTCATCTCTGTCATCTTCTTGACAAAAACACCGAGCTGCATATTTTCAACACTGCTTTTTGTAATCCTCATCTCCATACTCTTGAGGTACTGGGATATGGTTTAGGATTATTATCCCATTTAAAGTATTCAGTATCCTAAAATCAAAAACTGGCTCAGGCATCATTAAAAAAATCAGTGGATGGACACTAAAATATCAAGTCTCATCTCAGTGTCAATTGAACAGAACTGAAAACACCATGCAAACAGAGGTCAAAGTTTAAACATACAAATGTCACATGAGATTTAAATTGAGTCATTCTGTTTTAAACCTACATACAACTGTAACATTTCCCAACTTTACCCATTAGTGAAATGAGATGTATGGCAAACTACCTTACCAACCAACAGTGGAAGTTGGTGTTAATGGATTGCTATTCAAACTGGTCACCAGTTCTGTTGAAGTGTTAATGTGTGTTGACCACAGTAATAAAAGAAAAGCACAAGTGATCAAGAAGTTAAGATTTTATTTCAAGACAACACAATATAAAATCAGTTAAGAGCTATTCATTTATTCTGCAGCCTTCCTCCCTCGTTTCCCAGTTGCTTTGGTGGCAGGGGCGTCGCTCCCTGTTTTAGTCACCTTGCTCTGGGATGCCTTTGCCTCCTTGGTGTTCTTTGCTGCCTTTGTTTTGGTTGAATCTGCAGCTCCCTTGTCATCCTCCTTCTCGGCAGCTTTTTTAGCTTTTGGCTTCTTTGCTGGAGCAGCTTTTGTTGTGGTAGCAGTCTCTTCGTCTTTCTTTGACTTTTTGGGAGGTTTAGATTCCTGAAATGAAAAATAAAGTAATCTAGTCATTTGTAATCTTGATTTAAAAGGAGCAAAGGACAGTTCTGCTCAGGGGAGCCACAACAAGTTAAAAGTGCCTTAAAAAAACAACAACACAAGCACATACATCACTACATTATAGAATTTTAGACGACATAATCTCTCTCCCACAGATGGAGCATTAAAACATCATCTCACCTCCTTTGACTTGGCGGGTTCACTGTCAACATCTTTCTTTTTTTTGACTCCTGTAAGAATTTACAAGGAATTTAAAATTGCCACTTACAAGACTGACCTTCCTGAGTAATGTCACATTCTATTTTCACCTGCTTTTGGGGATTTCTTCTTGGCTCCATCTTTGGCTGGTTTTGGAGCTTTCTGCACATTAGGATCTGTATTCTCAGTTTTTGACTTTGGCTCCTTGACTTTGGGTGCAAGCTTAAGACAGGACAAAAAAAACAAACCCTATTAATGACGCAATTTGACCCGTGTTAATGAAGCTGCAGACCTGACCGCTTACCCTGAATTTACCCATCGCGCCTGTGGTGCTACTGGAGTTGGCAGGACGCACCAGCGTGCCAGTCTCGATCCCCTTCTTCAGGGCTCTCCGCACCAAGTGCTTCAACCTCACCAAATCCACAGAGGGGTATTTCTGTTTGATGTAGTTCTGTATGGCTTGGGAGGAAACCCCTTTGCGCGAGTCCAGCTCTTTGAGCGCCTCGTTCACCATAATGGCTGTAGACGGATGAGTTGAAATTTTACGCAGCGCTGCAGCATCTAAAGAACAAACTTTATGTTTATACATTGATCGGGGGGAGGGATGGTTTAAACACTGGCCACACAGCAGCAGCTTAAACGAAATATCAGTCATTGGCGTTTGCGCACAGACCTGATTTAGCTTTGACTTTCTCCTCCACCGGCGAGTCGCTGGGGGATGGCACAGGCGCACCAGCAGAGTCCGCTGCTGGCTTTTTAGGAGGCATCACAACAACAGCAGAATATTTAAAAAACAACAGGATCACAATGCAGACTCCCCAAAGAGTAACAGTACGCGACACGTGCTCCCTGTCCCTGCAGTCTCCGTCTTTATGCAGTTGCTTCCGGTAAAATGAGACCAGGTGCATCACATCACGTCAGGTGCGATGCATTAGAGGCTGTCAATTAAAGCCATCAGGGGACTGTGCTGACGTCACAGCCTGTCCAACCTGTGTTGGAGTCTCTCTGTGATTATGTTCCCACCAATATTCTGATATGAACACGATCAAGTGTTCAATCAATAAAGTACATCCATCCATGTATGTTTCCATGTATGTATGTGAGCACGTATCTATCCATCCATGATAATTGCCTGAATAAGACACTGTCAGGTAAACAGCAATGTGCATCTTAATCTCATTGTAACATCCATCTGGAGTTGCTACAGCATTTTGGGATATTGACATGTATGTTACCAACTGTTTAGTATGTAACATGTAAACAAGAAATTAGATGGAACTCTCTATAGTCATGCAAACAACATCATCGAAACAGTCTTGACTACTGTTAGTAAAGGCGTTTACAGTGTGTAAGTGTATGAATGATTTTAAATAACTGACCCAGTATGAAGTGTGTACTTTAGGCCCCCCCCCACTCAAAACAGGATGTAAATGTCCGGGTGATTCACTTCTGAGGCTCGCTGTGGTTTTCTAGTTCTGCAAAATGACATGCTATTATGTGTGTCTGTGTATTCAGACACACATACTGAGGTTTCACGATTCTGGCCGGCTTCATCATGGCAGGACTTGTGTTGCTCGTCATTTTCATAAGTGGGTAGACATTTTGTAATTATCAATGTTGGCTATTATATTGTAGTTTTTGTTTCTGGTTGTTTATGAGACTATAGTGTCAGTTATTATTACATCTATTTTATTTCCATTAGGTTCCTTTCACGAGATTCAACTTCAAGGTCAGAGTCTGATCTTTTACATTTCACGTTCAGCTCTGCTGTTTTCACTCTATGTGAAGTTTATTGTGAGCTGTTATTGATTTGAGTTTTTAATCAGTTTGCCTGCACAGTAGAGTTTCTTTACCTTATTTACCTTAATCTGAAATTCCACATTCACAACTTTATGACATTGATGCAACTATTGAGAGCTTAATATAACTAAATGTTTTTCTTCACTCGTTCAGCTCTTTTTCAACCTAAACTGGTGATGAATACATCAGCGATCACAGAGACAGACACTGTCACAATGCACTGTCAGCCTCCACCTGCTGTGTTGAAGTGTTATTTCTACACTGAGGGACAAGAAACCAAAATCTTCCCATGTCTAAAGACACTGTCAGGGACTGAGCTGCTGCTGCTGGCACATAAGAGCTCCCCCGCTGAGGTTAAAGTAAGATGTTTTTATACCGTAAAGTTAGGACATACCGATTCTCCGTCTCCACACAGCAACACATCCTCCATCACCATACGCAGTGAGTTACTTCTTTTTCTGCTCTTTTACTATAGTGCAGCATGAATGAGTGAGGGAAGAGAAACAACCATTCAACAACTTCTTTTCCCATAACTCAAGTTTTGTCACTTTAATAAGTACATTTTCTTTCTCAGGTTCTAGATTTTAAAAGTTTTGTGAACAGTATTCACAGTATAATTGTATTTATGTGCCTGCAAAGGAAACTGACCTATCGCCTTTTATTGTATAGAGACTGTGGAAATAGAGTCACACGAGATGCAAACTACGCCATTTCCTATGAGCACAGGTAAAACATGCTGCATTTAAATTGAAATCTATCCTGACAAAACACTCACTATTTTTGTTCTGTTGAGTTGTAAAAGTTGTTTTATTCAACAGGACCTCCTACTTCAACTCCTGTAACGTCTATAAATGGTAATGAAATTAAACATATGGTGTGACTTTGTTTTAACCATTATAATGAAATGTATTTTCCTTCATTCATCAGGTCTGACGGTCAGTACAAGAAACCCAAAGGAAAATGTTATTGCTACTTCTCATTTGAGTTCTCCGTCACTAACACCGGTGAAAACAGCATCAGGTGACGAAATCACTCAAGTTTTTTTTATGATTCACAGAAGACTCAGACTTAGATAGTCAGACGACAAGGAAAACATTCTTTAATTCTTTTATCCTTTAATTTTTATTTTTGCCTCCATGAAACATTGAGTGCTAATTTCTGGATTCGTCACGTTTGACACTTTAGTTACTTATTCACCAGAGCAACACAGTTTTTTCTTATATCTTGTGTGTCACATACTTGAAGAAATACTTGAGATGTGTTCTTTTAAAAGTTGTTCCTTTTTTGGACCTATTTCCAAGCATTACACTAGAATGTATTTTCCTTCATACATCAGGTCTGACTGTCAGTACAAGGAGCCCAAAGGAAAATGTTGTTTCTACTTTGCAAACGCCACTGAAAGTAACATCAGGTATTTCTACCTTTCTATACTTTTTTCCTCCAAGAAATAGTTCCAGGATTCATCATGTTCACCACCTGTCACTTTACTTTGTCACTAGAAATACAGTAGTTAAGTCAAGCAGACGAAAATAAAACTATCATGACAAGTCCAGTGTGTAAGCTTTAGGTGAAAGGGATCTACTGACATAAATTGAATATAAAATAATCTTAGTGATGTTTTCAGATACAACTTCACCACTAGATGTCACTAAATTCTACACAACGAACCTTTAAAAGTTCTAAAAAAAAACATTTAACAGGTCTGGAAGTTCACAGACCTCATACTTCAACTCCTTTGACGTCTATAAAAGGTAATAAAACCACATGCAATTTGTGCCTTTTTCCAAGCATTATAATGATGAGGTGTATGTTTCTTTATTCATCAGGTCTGAATGTCACACCGAGGAACTCTAAGGAACATGTTAACTTTTCTTTTCTTGGGAAACCAGGTGACAAAATCCCTTTTCTTAAAGATTCACACAGATGTTGAAAAAACATTTATCTGAGAGTAACAGATGTTTTTGTTAACATTTAATTATATACCTTTTAATATTTCTTTCATTTTTAATTTTTGCCTTCAAGAAACAGTTATTGCTTATTCCAGGATTCATCAAGTTCACCACTTTAGTTATTTTACTTATTCGTTTCATATTATGTGGTGTGACATGCACGGGTAGAAACTCTGAAGGTACACACAGTCTTCCTGTTGCTTTACTGATACTCCACTCCTCTGAAACAGAAATAAGGATGTTGACACTGGTGGCAGTTTCAGCTGGTTTTGGAGTCATCGTGGGTGTCATCTCACTGGGACTGGGCATTCTCAGCACCAGAAGAAGAAGTGGTGAGGACTGTGTCCATTTACTGTATATGTCCAGTTAATGTACACGTACATACTTGAAGTATGTTACTGAAATGTTGATATAAAACCATCCACATGCAGAGAAATGATTTAAGTCTTTTAAATTTGTATCAGACTCAACAATGCCTGTGTCATCTTACAAACTCACTGGTACCAAGAAACTGAGCAGACGAGAGTCTCAAAATGAACAAGTAAGTGAGACACGAGGCACAGTATATGGTTGTTATAGAGGTTTATAGATGTTATAAGAGCGCTCAGAGTTGGTATCTTTCTTTTCTAGTCAGATGATTACCACACCTACCACACCATCGCTGAGAAGCCGCCTGAACGAGCCCCAGAGATGGTGTACAGCACCCTGCAGCTGGTTTAAAGGGAAGACAGAGGAGACTGCCCAAAGACCTGTTTTTAAACCATGTGCAATTTTAGTCTCGACATTAATACAAATCGAAGTGGTTGATTTGACATTCCTGAAATAGTTTTAATAATGTGACTGTGGTTATTGAGAGGCCACTTCTTATAACATTGCGTATAGCAGACAACATTATAACATCATACAGTGTTTGGAAATGTACTCTATTTACATGTACTGTAATATGTATTAATAAGGATGTCCTGTATAGCTTCTCTACAACAGACTACAAACATTTTCCAATCTAAATGACCAATTAGATTTCAGTCTGTCATGACTGAAAGACATTAGTATCTTAATCGCTTCAGAAATGAGAGGCTGTTTCTGTTTTTGTCTCTGTTACATCACTTGGCTATTGTTAAAGGTGCAGTGTGTAGAATTTAGTGATATCTAGTGTAGTAGTTGCATGTTGCAGCTGAACACCCCTCACCTCACCCTCTCCTTCCAAACATGAAAAAGAACCTGTGGTAGCTTCAGTTGTCATAAATCTCAAAAGGTGTTTAGTTTGTCCAGTCTGGACTAATGTAAAAAACATGGCGGCCTCTGTAGAGAGGGTCCCCTCCATGTAAATATAAAGTATTTCAATATAAAGAGTCTTTTCTAGAGTAAAGAAAACTACAATTCATACAATTTAGATGAAACCAACTAGTGAAAACATCATGAAGATTATTCTACATTAAATTTCTGCCAATAGATCCTGTTCACCTAAATCTTACACACTGGAGCTTTAAGCCTCTCTGGGTTTGGAATCAGAAACCTGGATACGACGTTATTGGCAATTACATCTGTTCTTGCTGCTCCCTTCATCTCTGTCAGACATTTTCTTTCGTATGCAAACTTTAAACATGGATACATTTCTCCATTTAGTGTGTTTTCTCATGAACGTTGTAAATATTGTTATTCTGTCGAGGTTTCTATGTTTTCTTTCCTGTCAATGTGTAAATATGGGCTTTACAGATACAATTTTGATCGATTGATTCACATATTCTGAGTGGCTTCTTCTTTCATTTTTAATATAATTGTTTTGAGAAGTGAACCGTCACCGTCATCTCTAGAGCCAACATACACTTTCTTTTTCACTACTGAGATGTCTTTGCCCACAGTGACAGGATCACAGCATGTGATTATCAAGTGCCCTCAGGTTTAAGTTCTGCTTTTCCCTCTGCAACATTAAGCAGAAGTCAAATGAAACAAGATCATGGGAGTGAGCAGTTGTGGCTGTCAGCTTGCAACAGGCAGTTCTCAGGAACCAAAACAAAGCTGGTGAGAATTAGTTGATGAGTAAAATGATAAAAACTTTTGACTGTAACCACTTCCTGTTTGTGACAGAATCACGCTGTATGACCACATCTATGCAGAGAGTACGCTGGGAGCAGCGACAGTGCACGCACTTTATCTGACCTAAGTGACAGAACATCAGCTGATAGATTTAGAGATAAAGACATGAGAAGCAGTTATTTAATCACCTGTAAAACTATACATCAACATTTGTGCAGCCAGAGTTAAAGCAACACTGTGTAACCTAGTTCACTGTTTATTAATGAAGTGTAGAATTGAACCTGACCTTATCGTAACCTTAACCTTTGACTAAGTCTTCACCCTGAAACGGAATGATTCATGTTGTGAGGAGAAGCTTCATCTGCCCACAAGAAGGCCCAGATGTGCCCATGTAAACAGGTTTATGTCCCTGCAACATTAGTAATACACACACATACACACAAACACACACAATATTCGAAAAAATTAACACACGTGTAAATGAAGTAAAATATTTCTTTGTTTATTCGTCAGCTCTCTCAAACTTACAGTTGAGAGTACGTGGTCACCTTGACAAATCACGGCTGGATGTATGAACGTGATATTCTTCAAACACACTTTGCTGAATCTTCATCATGCATCTTTAGCTCGTCTGAACCGTCTCCTGCTTTAATACGAGGAGAAACTGACAGAGGAAAGTTCACGTGTTCTGTTTTCTCTCCGGTATTTTACATGATCCACATTATTATCAACATCAGAAAGAACTCAGTAATAAACTTAAATTATCTGAGGAATGTATGAAAAGTATGACGCCACTGTCAATAGTGATTTTTTTTATTTTTAGCATTTGAATGCTAGGAATACAGAGCGCTCTGCCTCCTTTTCACATGACAAAAGTGCATTTCACATTCTGTAGACTTTTACATTAACTTTCAGTTTGTACTTTGCGACACAGAAACCTATTTGATGTCTTATATCATCCTATTTCTTTTGCTTTGACTGGAGACATGTTGCTTTCTGTTATTTAATTTCAGTGCACCTTAAGGACAATATGGCAAACTGTGAACTGCAATGCTCTGAACAAAGTCACCAAGCACTCTCATTTTCTTTTACTGCGCCACATCGTTCATGATTTCTGCATTAATGGATGCGAGTCTCAGTACTACAGTTTTTTTTTGTTTCCTAGTGGAGCGCTGCCAGTTCAGTTGCAGAGCTAATGAGCAAATTCATTTCTGATTGGCCATATTCTCTATGTGTTTATAAGCTTAATCTAGTTTGAGTTCGTCCTCACTGAGGTCTGGTCCTGCTGCTGACGGTCACCTGCTGACGGCCGCTGCTATCAGAGGGAGCAGAGCTGCTGTTAGAGCACTGGAGAGGCGTGTTGCTGAACCACACTCCATGGCGTTTTCCTGCAGAAGAGAAGGTTGTATGTGATGAAAGATTTTTTTGCAAGCTCATGTTTAGGTATGTGACTTTTGGAAGAATCTGCTTTATCGCAGCTATTCTTGGTCGTATTGTTTCCAGTTATTATGACAGGACAGTTCCTTCAAGCTCATATAAACGTCTGGGATCACAGCAGCATCGCTAGAACAAAGTTCAAAGGGACAAAATCCCTGAGCGATTAGACAACCAGACAAATATACACTGTACAAAGAGAAACCTGACTGAAGCATCCTCCCTGAAACAGGAAGAACAGTTTACACAAAGAACCCACAAAGGTAGAAACACAAAACAGAAAGCTGGATCAGAATCGTTCATAAGAACTACTAGTACTCAAATACACTTTATAGAAACCACTTTGTTTCAGAGTAAAATGAGAAGAAAGCCTATAAAATATTGTTAATATTTCCTTGTTGCACAGGAGAAGTCAGCACACAGCTGCAGCAGGTATGAAAGGTTAAAAGAGTCAGTCTGCAACTGAAAGTTCAAGTTATGATTATCCATTCATTTTCTTGGCTGATCTGCGAGTTTATTTAAAACCCATACAACTGTCTTTTTACACATTTCTCTTTCTTCGTTTTTTATTATTTATACTTTTATAGAAATGTTGCCGCATTCCCTTATCTCAGAATTTAACTTGGTGTGTGCAATCATATTATTACAAGAGGAATCCAAAACTATGAAAATGAGATGAAAAACTAAGATTTTCTATTAATGATTATTTGTGTAAACCTCGTGTCTTTCCTTCCGTGGATCTGAGTATTTCAGAGTGGTCTCACATATACAAATGTACGCAGACACAGGTAACAGTACACAGGCATGATGTCATACCTCAGGGTGGAACGGATGACATGATTCAGGTTTCTTTCTGTCCTTCTGAAACTTCAGTCTGTCACATTTCAGGGACTCGTTGTGTTCAGAGATGTCAAGGAAAAAAAAGACAAACTGAACAGAGCTAAGTTTAGAGCTTCACTAACCTACAGTACATCAGGACTCGTTGAGGCTGATGTGAAACTGAACACTCGAGTGGTACAACTCCATAAATAACCCCAAAGAAAAAATGTCGCTCTGCTCACTCAGTATTTCTATTCTGAAACAAACCACATACTCAAAGCTTCAACTCATCAACATTGGTGTTTCCATTACAAAGGATATACATGATCTCGATGGGGTCCATGGTTACTGGAGGAGAACTGCTGCAGTCACACTTATTGTCCACAACAACCATGAAGAGGTTGCTGCTGGGAATCTGCTGTATGACAAAAGACCTGCAGCCCAAACACACACACACACACACACACACACACACACACACACACACACACACACACACTGTTAAATATGGGTGGATGTCGAGGAATTGATTTTTGAAATTTGAGTAAATAATGGAAAATGGCCTGCAGCAGTACCTGGTGCAGCCCTCACAGTCGATGTTGCCTGTTGTTTCTTTGATGGTGCGTTCAGAGACAAAAGCAGGGTATTCTGTGTCACATGGAACCATCATGGTTTTACCCCGAGACCTCTGAGCTGAATGTGGGACAAAGAAAGCTGTGCTGAACCACGGTTGTTTGATACACAACAGTTAAAGAGAGTATATCCTGTCTCACACACACACACACAGGCCTGTGACAATCATCAGCTGTGGTTACCTTTTACTGACAGGTCCACGTTCCACCAACTATACAGGTTAAATTCTAGCAGAAAACTAAAGAGAGATACACAAACATCACATTCAAACAAACACCGCTGGTGACAGTATTAATTACTATTAGATCAAATTAACTAGTGTGATTATCTTCCATTTGTGTTTTTTCATCATTTAATGTTTTAGTTATCTTGTGCTCATTATCATATACATACAGAGTAGTACAGGTATTACATATGCCACAATATATAATTAATCTTCCCATTCTAAACAAATACATATAATTTTCTTACATGACAAGTTCAGTCAGGAGCCACTTCATCACAGTGAAAGGCTAAGAAAGAGAGATAGAGAGAAACATTTAATGTTAGTTTAATCTTTATTCATATTTCACTAGTGTCTAAACACAGTTCACCACGAAAGCTATGAAACGCACCACCTACTAGGGTCATGATATGAAAGCAACACTGTTTAACCTGAAAATATCAGTTTCAAAATGAGTTTGATGGGTCACTGACTCTTTGTTGCTCTCAGTCCCACGCCTCACCCTTGTTGCCTGTTCTTTTACTGTGGTGAGAGTGTAGCTGTTAAACTGTGCTGCACTTTTAAAATATGGAAAATACTACTATGGTTCAGTTGTGTTTCTGTTGAGTGAGAGAAGCTACACAATCAGAGAGTTCTCAGAATTAATCACCACGTGTGGCTGCAGAGGGCGCTGTTGCTCCGTAGGTTACAAAGTGTTGCTTTAACTCTGGCTGCACAAATGTTGATGTATTGTTTTACAGGTGATAAAATCATGCTTCTCATGTCTTTATCTCCAAATCTACCAGCTGATGTTCTGTCACTTACGTCAGATAAAGTGCGTGCACTGTCGCTGCTCCCAGCGTACTCTCTGCATAGGGCCTGGTAGTCATACAGCGTGATCCTGTCACAAACAGGAAGTGGTTACAGTCAGAAGAAAATACCAACAACAACAACAAATACAATCATTAACAAAAACATGCTTTTAATGCCAGATTCACTGGA